CCCCAAAACCCCAAAACCCCAAAACCCCAAAACCCCTTTTGCTATCAGAATCATTGAAACGAAGGAAAAGTGATTCTCTACTGATAAAAATTGGCCTTCTTGAGTGTCCTGAAAGTTGTTTGAGAGAGATTTGAGATATTGAGATGATTAAAAATCATGAGTATTATGTCTAGAGCTAGAAATGGCTCTTGATACAATTGTATCTAAAAGTAGGTCTTTTAGTCTATCCAATTGCCGCTTTCCTGATTTTCATTGTCAAACATTGATTTGGGGACTGTTTCTTGTGAACTAAAAAATTGTTTGAAGATAGCATAGTTGAACCAATAACTAAATCTATCAAGAAGCTATTTTAAATGATAACTAAAGACCGTTTTTAAAGTGCAAGCTATACCTGGTGACATCATTCTTTAAAATCTGAGCTAAATCTATTAAAAATTAACATATAAGCTAGTACACTGGTCTCTACTCCTGATCTTAGTTGAAGAGGAAGCCAATTCAAAGTTGAAATCGAAAGATTTCTTATGAATTTCTTCTGTTTCTCCAGTGGACATGTAAACAAGAGTTGGCTTCATTTTCTCTAAAAGTAAAATGAGAGCTTACTTCTAGCAGTGGTTCTTCAGGTACTTCTCCTATTTTTGACTATGAAGGTTAGCTAAAGAAAGTACATTCTGTAGTATTGGATATGATTTTGGAACCTATAGAAAATATACCATGAGTATTCCCATTAAATTTTTTAGAAGATCTATGAGTAATGATTGAGCAAAAGATTAATTTCAATAGTCATGATTTACTTTAAGTAAATCTGACTGAAGTCAATACCACTGCATTTAAACTTTGTCTAAAGCTAAAGCTCATAACCATGAGCCAAACTAAACCCTTGGCATCCTAAAACGCCTGACCTACCAGCCACTGTATTATACCGATATCTACATCCTTCATTCGTAATATTCACCACTTCCTTATAAGTATCTTTAAAAAACACCTCCATCTTGTTCCTGATTCTCACCCAATTTCCACTTCCAAACTTATTAACCAGCTCTACTAAATACTTATCTGCTTTGTGGCACCAAAAGCTCTTATTCCTAATAGTGCTTCTCCTATTTTTCCCTATATTCACCATCAAAAACTCACCTAGAACAGCATCTTCCTTCACAAACTGAGTCAAATGATACTCAAACGGCCCCTTAGAGCCATTATTAGTAAAATGTGACGAAGACACCTCTGCTCTCATCAACCCACCACCTATAGCACAAGTTATCCTCTAGACCTATCACACAACTACCACATCTCATTCATAAAGCACTACGCCCAAAACCCCACCTGCTGAACACCTCAATGCAGAACCTCTTTTGCAAATTCTACTGAATTTATAGGAATAGCACTAAACGTTTTCAGAAGTGAAGTTAGACAAGGGCGTGGATGATAAACAAATTGGATGAAATTTTAGCAGTTTTGGTGAATAATGAAGATTCTTGGAGAGTGGGGAAGATAGATGTTGGAGGAGGTAAGAGAGGGATATGGTTGGGTGGCAGGTAAGGGTGGTTGTGGTTTGAATTATGATAATTCGGAAAGTTAGGGTAGTGATTCTGAGGGGGTTTAAGTAAAAGCTGGTTTAGAGTTTGATGAAATTTATTGAGCCAATTTGATTACTAACCTGAATTCCCATCTTCATTAATGATAGTTCCTGAAATGAGGTCTTGATGAACACTTGAGTCCTTATCTAGTTTGTTATATTCTACCTGGTGGATAACTTAGGTTTTACCTACTTCAGATTCTTCAATCATAGGAATGCTAAAATTTTAATTCTCTCTTACTATTGTTTTCTTTGCTGTTTTTTGCGAAATTTTCTTCTAAAATTTAGCCTCTTTATTCTCCTGAAAGACATTCTTAATCTTTAAGCTAGAGAGGCTGCTGACACAACTGGAGATGGTGTCTAAAATTTCATCAAATCCTCTGAAAAATACCACTTACTTGTACCCAAAGGGCTAGAAGATTCTTGGAGCTGGGAATAAGAGACTTCACTATAATATAAAACTAGAAGACAGATTTTATGTAGCAAAAAGATGGAGCTTATTAATAAACACTTTAATTAAGTCTGGATCTGATCCGAAGATCAGGACTTGCTGCTGTCTCTCAAAGACCCAAAACTAAAACAATCTCTAATCATGTTTTCAAGAAAATTTCAGCAATGATCTTAGAAACTCGGTGAGGGTTACCTTGTATCTTTTTCAAAGAAAGCTCCTCTACGCTCCTTCTCTTTCAAGTGATAGGTCTCTAGATTTGAACTGAAGATAGCATCATATTCTTTCTGGTCTTCATCCATACAGGAAGAACTATAGAAGAAGCTAGGTGAAATCGATCAAATTTCTCTTTCTGCCTTTCAACAAGCAAAGAATGTAAATTTGTAGAATTTATTAGTATGGTAAATTAATAGTTATAAGGCTGTTGCAAATTCTGTATCTACCACTGTTGATAAGCTCTCTCAGATTTGTGAGATATCCCGAGCATGAACAGATCTGGAAGCTAAATTTCGATTCTTACTTTTTCATCTATATGTTATATGTTAAAATAATGATCGGAATATCAATTCAGGCAACCAATGTGCCCATAAGTATACCTTTCATCAAAGCAAAAGCTATAAATTGTGCTTTCTTAAGAAACAACTATACTCTGACATACTTTGTGTTAAAATAATGCTCAATTTTTATACCCAATAAAGGGGTTTTGGGGTTTTGGGGTTTTGGGG